ATCAAGCTGGGAAGAAAGAAATGGTGAATAGGGCAAGTCCAAATCCCATGAAGCTCACTATTCTTACCAAGAGTCATAATGGTTTTTTGAATAAAACTCCTTGGATTGTTGCAAGATTTGGTTAATTTCCAGAGTTGTGGAAAAGTTGATTTTGACCATTTGTGCCAGAGTTCTCATTGCTTTTAAGGAGGAGCAGATTTTTAGAGGTTTTTTTACTCCACTGTTTCAGACATCCTGCTCTGAGCATCTCTTGTAAGGATGGGCAGACATCTGTGAATAAAGCAGGGGAAACATTCCAAACAGAAGTAACAGCATGTGCAAAAGGATGGAGATATGAAAGGTCATGGCTTAGGTGGGACAGGCAAATGACCCTGAGTAACTAGACTATAGGTAAGGCAATGAGGAGGATATTATTCAGGACTTTTTTTCTGTTGTAAGTAACTAAAACTCAGCTGAAGCAGGCTTCAGGTATCTTTTTAAAAAGATATTAATCAGCTCATGAAATTGACATGGCCATGGGTAGATCTAGCTTTAGGCACAGATGGATCTAGTGCCTCAAATGATCATTAGGACTCAGGCTTGCTCTCTCCTCTTCTCAGCTCTGCTCTTTTATATATTGGTGTCACTTAGACAGGTTCTTCCTTTATGGGAGCAAGATGGTGGCACCAAGCTTACATCCTCAAAGCTTCAAATTCAATGATAAGAGAAATTCTTTCTCCCCAACAATTCTGTCAAAAGCCCCAAAACTAGGTTTCACTGTGCCCATCTCTAAATGAATCACTGTGGTCAGGGAAAATGGAGCAAACTGATTGGCCAGTTCTGAATGCCAAACTCTTCCTCTCAACCAGGAGTGAAGTCAGCTCCTAACCGAACTACAGAGACTGAGCATGGGAGAGGGGTAGTGCCTTAAGGAATATATAGATTATCTTACCAAAAGATGGATGATAACTATGGCCAATAAACACACCCACCAGATGGAGTGATAGAAGCTGAGACTAGGAAGTATCAGCTCTAGAGAGATCTTCAGGATCACACTCCCGACAAACCATTCAGCAAACTGGTTGAGGATCTGCTCTGTAGACAGCTCTGTGCTGGGTGCTGGGATACCAACCCTCAGGGAGGCTCCAGTCTAGTTTTAGACATTATCAACCTACAATTTCCTTGATGAAACTTCCCTAACAGGTCACTGATTCCACCTTTAATTGCCCAGGCTAGGAAATGGATGCCCTAAGAGGACTGGGAATCTTACCGCTGGCACACAGCAAATCAGTGGTGGAGCTGGGACAAGAACCAGGTTAGCCTCTTTGTGCTACATACATGGACCATATCCATTCTTCAAGTTATCTTTCCAGCCCACTTCTAGGGAGCCTTCCCAGAATATCCTTATGCCTGCTGGTGTCCCCAGAAGAATGAGTCAACCCAACTTTCCCTGGGTTGACTCTAATGGAGCCTTTCCATTGAGCCTTGGGCTCAATGTTGTATTCTTTCCCCTGTTGCCTCACCCTCTGTCCAGCCCCAACATGTCTGCTTCCTCTCCCTATACTGTTGGGTCACCTATTCCACTTTCTCTTGCTAACCACTAAGAAGCTTTTGAAGTAGCTACTTTTCTATGGGACGCTCCATGGGTATCTCCTAGAGGCAGCATGCAGGCACGGGTAGTAGGAACCAAGGGGTGTTGAGAGCACTCCAGTCTGGGGAGCAGCATGGCGATCCCTCCGGTCTCTACCCACAAGGGAGCTGTCACTCTTCCCACTCCTGCCCTAACCAAGGAGGAGGAGAGAGGTGCATAACAGATCACAGAAACACCCTGGGAGTTTCTGGGTGTTTCTGGGCCCACTCATCTGAGAGGTCATCTGCACATACTCTGGGGCAGGGGTAGGTAACTCTGGCCCTTTCCTGGCCCTCTCCCCTGACCCACAGAACCACGACAAGTTCCCGTTTTCTGGAACCTACTCCATTGTCTTCCTACTGGTTCTTCTCTCTGGGGTCCACTGCAGCCTTGCTATGCTTACCATCACCTCTTGCCTCCTGGACTGCTGCAGTTGCCTCTTGACTAGTCTCCCTGCTTCTTTTCTTGTTTGCTTTTGAGACAAGGTAATTCCCTGTTGTCCACGCTGGAGTGCAGTGGCGTCTTCAAAGCTCACTGTAACCTCAAACTCTTGGGCTCAAGGGATCCTCCTGCCTCAGCCTCCCGAGTAGCTGGGACTACAGGTGAGCGCCACCATGCCCGGCTAATTTTTCTATTTTTTGTAGAGATGTTGGAGTCTCACTATGTTGTCCAGGCTGGTCTTGAACTACTGAGCTCAAATGATCCTCCTGCCTCAGCCTCTTGAAGTGCTGGGATTACAGGCGTGAGCCACCACACGTGGTTGGTGTCCCTGCTTCTACTCCGGCAGGTCCTCCGCCTGTTATCATCTATTCTCCAAACAGAAGCCAGGGGCATCCTGTTAAACAGCAGTCAGACCATGTGCCTCCTCTGCCCAAAACCCTCCCTCTAGCTCTCTATTTCACTCAAAATAAAATCTGAAGTCCTTATAATGGCCTTTGAGACCCCTCACTAATTGGGTCCTGCTTCATGTCTGACCTCACCTCCTCCTACTCCCACCAGCCCTCCGTCTTCTGCAGCACCCCAACCTCCTAGACAGCCAGTCAGGCTCTCGCCTCCGGACTTCTGAGATCTGAACAGTCTGTTTCCTGTGTCCAGAATATTCGTCCCCCAAATATCTGTGTGGTGTGCTCCCGTACCCACTACAGGTCTTTAATCAAATATTCTCTCCTCCCTGACTACTCCTTTAAAACTTTTCATCCTTCTCTTCCCCAATATTCCCTATCCCCTGCTGTATTTTTCTTTTTTCTTTTCTTTTTCTTTTTCTTTCTTTTTTTTTTTGAGACAGAATCTCGCTTTATTGCCCAGGCTAGAGTGAGTGCCGTGGCGTCAGCCTAGCTCACAGCAGCCTCCAACTCCTGGCCTCAAGCAATCCTCCTGCCTCAGCCTCCCGAGTAGCTGGGACTACAGGCATGCGCCACCATGCCCGGCTAATTTTTTCTATGCATATTAGTTGGCCAATTAATTTCTTTCTATTTATAGTAGAGACGGGGTCTCGCTCTTGCTCAGGCTTGTCTCGAACTCCTGACCTTGAGCAATCCGCCCGCCTCAGCCTCCCAGAGTGCCAGGATTACAGGCATGAGCCACTGCGCCCGGCCTACTTTATTTTTCTTCTTGGACTGTCTAACATGCTACATCTTTTACTTATCGATTTTATTTATTGATTTCATTGAGCTCCATGAAGGAGCAGTTTTTGTCTGTTTTCCCAAATGCTTCATTGCCAGCACTTAAAACAATGCCTGGCACATAGTAGGTGCTTCATACATATTTGTTGAATGAATAAATGAATGACTAGTCCTGAATAATCAGAATTTTGGGTAGTTTTTGTATCGTGCAAAATCAGGGCCAGGAAGTCACTTAGACCACTTCACCTAAATGCCCACTCTCGTTTGATCTGTGGGAAGATTGAGGCTCAGACAGGTAAAAGGAGTTGCCCACAGTTACAAAGAGAGTTAGTTTAGTCGGAAACCAGCAATTTAACCCATACCACCAGGGAGCCTTCCCTAGCTGTTTTCTTGGGACCTATCCTACCCTACAAGGAACCCTTCTCTGCATGAGGGTGGAGGGGTCATCGGGTAGGGGGTTAGGGTGGTGAAGAGTGGCATTACAGCAGGCATTCATATAAGGTGGCTCAGATCCAGGTCTGTTGACTAATGGAGTCTTTTCTCTGACATTCTGAACTCTGCTACCTCTCTGTAGACTCCAATTGGAGATAAGATCTCAGTCAGGGGCTCAGGGTCCTGAACATTCTGGAACAGGCCACTGCAGGCCCAGGGGCTGCAGGAGTGTCACACGCTGCTGTACTGCCTGGCCCAGGGCCTCCTTTTTCTCTGTCCCAGGCCTGGAAAGCTGGGCTTATTTTCAGGGTTGGACTAACATTTCCCGGTGGAGTATGGCGAGTCCACAGTCCAGCCAAATGGAGGCCCCTCCCGCCCCTTGGAGGAGAGGAGAAAGGGGGAGGGGGAGTGGAGCAGCCTTCCAGAAGGGATAGCTTTGCCGAGTTTCAGCCTAATATCCTGGAGCTATTCCTAGGTAGATTGTGGTCAGTGGAATTATGCTTTTATCAGGCTGCTGGGAGTTTCAATAAAATCTTTATGGCCGGGAAAGTTCTCTTTATGGAAATCAGATTATTGAAGTGCCTGCTGGGGGAGGGCCTCGCCAGCCTGCTTTCTCCCCCCTGCCTCCCCCTCCCCTCCGCACAGCTCCCCCACTCGGCTCCTTCCCTCCCCTCTCATAGGCGCCCAGCTCCCAGGAAAACTTGCGCTGGGCGTGCGGCCTCGGCAGGTCTCTACCTGCCAAGCGCTAAGGGGGGCTCCTGCAGGGCACTGGTGGCACTGCAAAATGCATGTTGCCAAGTAGCTCTCGCCCAGTCCCCCCTCCGCCATGTCCATCGAGGAGCCTTGGTTTTGCCATTTCTGGGTCAAAGTTTCTCTGCTGCTGGCTCTCCATGTTGGCAGTCCCTGGATTTTCGTCCTTAGCACGCAGCTGAGCCCTCCCCCCAGCCCTGCCCTGCCCGTCTGTCTATGGAACCTTCTTGCGGGGCTAGGGTTGGGGCCTGACCCCAAGGCAGTGTTGCTACGGTTCTATGGGGACTTGCTTGGGAGTGCCCTGCCCCGTGGCTCTTTCTTGGGGGTGGAGGAGCAACCATGGCCGAGGCCCCCCACGCTCTGCCCTATAAACCATAAAGCGCCTGCTCGGGAGGGCTTGCCCTAGGAGGTTTGCTTTGTGGCTTTCTGGGAGGTTTTAATTTAGCAAAAGGAAAGTGGTTTGGACCAAATGGTCTCTTTCAGGACTAGAGTCTTTAAAAAGCCCCCTGAAATTTGGTGCTTTCGCCTACCCACGTTTGCCCACTTCCTGCCTCCCAGCACCTGCCCCCCCCAATATCTTCTTCCAGCAGGTGATGAGTTCAAAAGACACCAAGTCCTCTGAGGAATGGTTGAAGGAACTGAAGGAGAGAAGACTGAGGGGGCCTGAGGTTTTGTCTTCAGCCCTTTGAGAGGCTGTCACGAGGCAGAGGAAGCGGACGTGCTCTGCATGGTCCTGGGAGTAGAGCTAAACCTGCCCCCTGCTGGTATTTTCACTGTTATCACATGGAGTTATCCCAACAGCCATTTGAGGTAAAGAGTATTTTCCCCATTTTACAGATGAGGAAACCGAGGCCCAGAGCCACACAGCTAGGAAATGGTGAAGCTGCCTTTCAAAGCCAGGTCAGCTGGCATCAAATGTAGCATTCTCCACATCCCGCTGCCCTGGCCACTGGGCGAAGGCACCCGGTAGGCAGCAATGGGTTCGACATAGGTGACCTTTTTAAGCCACCCCTAAAGCAGCCCTCCCCCACCCCCACACAGTAGAGGCTGAGCTGTGCAAACCTCCAGGCTGTTCCCAGCAACTGTTTAGGGGCTGCTGCATGTTTAACCCCATCTGTCCTCCGCCCTTGACCTTGCTCTAGACCTCTGGCCTTTCCTGGGAGTGACGCTCATTCTCCCAAATGGACTTGCCCCTAGACCTCCCTCACTCCCGCGCTGGCTTCGGACCTCTCAGAACTGAACCCGGGCCAGCTCGTTGGCCCTGTGCTCCCACCCTGTCCACCCCGCCCTCTTTGATTCAGACAATAAGGAAGAGCTTCCTGGCACTCAGAACTGTCCAAGAACGGCTGGGCAGGGACGGCTGCTCGGGCCCAGGCGTTGGGGGGGGGGCGGTCCAAGCTGGGAATCCTTCCAGGAGTTTCCGTTGACTTACATATTCATTTTCCTACAGGAGCCTTTCTATTACTGTTCACAGGTTTTGCAGTCACCCTCTTGTCTCCCATTCTGTCCCCCTCCCCCAGTCTCTGTCTTCTCTCCTCTTCTGCATCCTTGTCTTCACTTGCCTTTCTCCTCTTTCTCTTTATTTTTCTCTGTGATTCTCTCTCTGTCTTTCTCTGTGTATTTTCCCTCCCCCCAGTTTCTGGCTCCTTCTTGCCCCCTCTGTTTCTGTTTCTGCCTCTGTCTTCCTTCCTTCCACCCCAGTCTCTTTCTCTCTGTCTTTTGTCTTTTTCTCCGTGTCCCCCTCCACCCGTTTTTCTCTCCAGTTCAGTCCTCCATCTGTTTCACTTTTACTCTGGGTCCCACTGTATTCCTCTTCTCTCTGCTGTTCCCCATCTCCCCCTCTCTCTGCCTCTGCCTGGCCTGCCCCAGCCCTCCCTCGGAGCCTCCCACTGTCCTCTGCTCTCTACAAAGGAACCACCTGTGTCTTTTGTGTTGCTCCAGTCTCGAACTGCAACCTCTGGCAGCTGATCCTGGGAGGCTGGATTCGAACAAGACCACCTTGAATCCTGGGAAGCTGGATGGAACCCTGGCTCCTGCAACTTCTCTCCCCCAAAGAGGAAATGACGTTCTCAGCCTCCTTCAGGCCTCAGCTGGAACTCCTGGTCTGCTCAGGGGACTCAGGAATGAGCAGAGCCTCAGTGGCACTTAGGAAACCTGGCCTTTTGAGTTCAGCTTCATCATGGCCACCCCTTGTCCAGACCTGAAGGTCACACCCTTCCTCTGGCACCGGTGTCGGGTCTGGCCCCGCCCTTGTTCCAGAAGAGGTGGATGTTTGCTCTTGAAGGGGCAGGAAGAAGCCAAGTGTCGCTGGAGTTAGGACGAGGAATGGAACTTGGCTGAGCTGGCCCAGAACAAGAGCGCAGCACGGGAAGAGGAGAGGGCCAGCGAGAGGGGTGGGGCGAGACTGGGGAAGGCGGCTGGGGTAGGCGAGGCAGGGGTTTGGGCTTCACCTTGAGTCTACTGGAGAGATATTGCAGGTTGCTGAACAGGAGAAGGGAGATGGCCCTGTCGGTAATTTATGAGATCACTCTGTCAGCTGGGTGGATTCTGGATTGTAGAGGGGCCAGAGAGGAAGCAAGGAGACGGGTGAAGAGGCTTGGATGCTGTTCAGGTGAGAGATGGCGGGAGCTTGGCCAGGGCGGCGGCAGTGGAGATGGGAGAAAGGGCATATTCAGGATGTGGGAAATGGGGCTTGGTGGTTGATGACTGCAGGCATGGCACAGAGGAAGGTGTCAAGGCGGATCCCAGCTTGCACAGTTGGGTGGCCGGCGGGACCTGCTACTAGCATAGGAAACACACGGGGGCAGTTTGGAGACGGGATGAGTTCTGCGGGGCCACGTGGAACACAACACGCTCACGCATCCTCCGGACTGAGGCAGCAGTCAGACAGTGGCAGGTCCCGCAGCTCAGAGGGCAGGTCTGGAGTGGAGCTAGAGGTGTGGGGACGGTCACGGAGGCCATGGGAAGGGGTCACCTGGCCCAGAGCAGGACCACGGCATGAGAAGAGGAGAGGGCTCAGGTCAGGGCGGGGGGCGGGGCGTTTTCAGGAGTGAGTATAGCAGAGAAAGTCTGCAGAGACAGCAGGGAGGCTCAGAGAGGCGGGAGGGCTGCCTAGGGGGTACAGGGCACAAAGCCACGAGAAAAGGGTATTGCCAAAAGGAGGAGGTGATTCAAATATCATGAGAGAGGGAAAGTGCCCAGCAGATTTGATGGTGACAAGGTCCTGGGTGACTTCCATAAGAGCATTTGTCAGTAGCGATGGGCATGGGAGCTGGACTGCAGTGGTGGAAAGGGTGGGGCCAGCCCAGAGCAACGGCCCCAAATCCTGCTACAGTGCACTCCCTTTAGTCATGTTCCTCCGCCCAGCGTGAAGCGCAGCCGTGAGCCGCCCTTGCTTTCCGCTACACCGGGCTGCTTCTCCCTCCCCGGCCCGCTCCTGACACACGCATGCGCACATGCACACACATGCATGCACACGCACGCACACACGTGTGCACACATGCACGGGCACGCACACACACGTACAAACACGTGCACACACACGCACACACATGCACACACACTTTTTCACTTCAGCGGGCTGAATTCTAGGCTCCCCCACCCTTCCCTACTTCAGACTCAGAAATAAATTGTTCACTGCCCCAGCGGTGAAACCTTATCTGGTCTGGTAAAAAATGTGTGTCTGGAGCAGCTGAGCTCCACGGTTCAGCCAAGGGGGTGAGCTGGCCGCTGGCTCGTGCAGCCCGGGGTTGGGGCAGGGGCGGGAGGTGGGGAGGACCCTGAGCGGAGACTGGGAAGGGTGTGAGGGGCAGGGCAGGGGAGGGGAGCGAGGGAAGGGGGGAAGGGAGCCTCGAATGCAGAGAGGCTGGGAATGCTGAAACTAGAACTGCTTTCTGGAGTGAAGACTTGCTTTTAAATCTCGCCTTCACCTCTTCCCACCTCTGTAACCTTCCTCTGTGAGCCTCAGTTTGCTCCTCTGTAAAACGGATTTAATCATCATTAACCTCCCTTGTCGGCAGTCTTCATCAGGCAGAATATCTTCTTCTTATCATCATCATTCTCATCATTGCTATCGGGGCAGAGCTGGTGTTGGAGAAAAGCCAGGCAGCTTCCCTGGGACCTTGCCCTGGCTAGAGATGCCACCACTCTGGTCCCCACAGCCCCAGAGCCCTGCACTCCTCACTTGGCTTTCCAGCGAGTGCTCAGAGAGTCTGAGGCTGGTAGTGGCAGGCAGCAAAGATGTCCTGAATAAGTGTCAAAGAATGGCCATCTGGCCCCCGTCTTAGCAGTTCCTGCAGCCCCTTTGGCTGTGGCTCAGAGACAGTCTGCAGAAGGGAAAGCAGCCCAGCTTCGGGGCCAGGACTTCACCCACTAGGGTCCACCTGCTTTAGCCGCATTGTCAGGCCTGACTCTGATGAGCCGTGACCACAGCTTTGCACAGACACCTTCGGCCAGCTGCTCACCACATGCTGCCTGGGTTGGGGGCAGGGGGAGCTTCTGATGCCCAGGAGGGCAGGGAGGCCAGAGGAGCTCAGCGGGCCTGATCCCCACCCCCAGGAGCCCAAGGTAGAGGCCAGTCCTGCTGTCAGGCCTGGTGCTGGCTGGCCCTAGCGTCCCTGCTCCTGGCTCTGCAGAGCCTGGAGGAAGCACCAAGCCGTGTCTGCCCCGCGCCTACCCCACCCCACCCTAACCCCTCTCCGGCCCTGTCAGGAGATGCCGCAGAAGGAGATCTACTGCTCAGGGATCGTGGCTGATGGAAAAGAATCCATCACGGCCCTGGGTGGCAGGAAGTGGAGAAATGAGACGCACTCTTCAGGTTGGGGGCGGGTGGGTGCCACCTCCTCCTGATTGGCAGGGCAGGAAATTGGGGCCTGGACCATGCAGAAGCCAAGCCAAAAGGGTGCTGGGGCTCCTCCGGGGCTGCGGGCCAGGAGGCAGCAGTGGCAGACCGTCTGGATGCAATCAAGCCTGCTATGACTTCATGGGGAGAAGGGGGGAGCCCCCAGAACTGAGAGCTTTGGGCCTGGCGCTCACTGGTGGGGGAGGGAGAGGAGCTGTGTGGGGATGAAACGTGGAGCATTTAGTGATGTGAGTGAGGAGCATGAAGATGGAGGGGAGAAGTGAGCCGCCATCTTTAACCGACTTGGACTTACAGCTTTGGGAGAACCAGTCTGGGGAGCATGAGCTGGGGGACAGCTCCCGCCCCCCAAATCCGGGGTTCCCAGTGCAGCTCTTGCCTGGAAAGGTAGGTGTTGGAGGCTTCTGGTCGCTGCATATAGCAGAGAGGTTGGCAGGCAAGGCAGCTGGCGAGGACTTCCCAGGGCGGGAAGACGGGGACCTTATGGCTCATGGCTTGGAGAGGTCTGCAGGGGAGAGCGGCGGGGCTGGGCCACGGTGCAGCGCGGGAGAGCTGGCGGGGCTGCAGGCCGGTGTCCCACGTTACTGGTGGAGGAGCTGGAGCTTTGTGGCCCGGGAGCAGGGAAGGCAGGGAACGGGTTTGCTGGTCTCAGAGCTCTGAAGGGCTGTCATGAGCAGAGGGAGAAGATGGTGTCTGTGGGACCCCAGGCTTCTGTGCAAAAGCCACAAAAAGACAGAGTTCTTCAGCTTTGCACAAGAAAGGATTTTCTCAAGAGCTGTCCAAGCACGAAATGGGGAGGAGGGAGATAGTGAACACCCCATCCCTGGAGGCGTGTGAACAAGGGCTGGGCCACATTGTGGAGATTGGAAGAGTCAATGGGAGTGGTCTCTTGGCATCCTCTGGCCACCCTGTCATGAGCTAAATGGGTCACTACTGTGAGATGCAGTCCAAGGAACTAACACTCGCTCCTTGGAGCTCTCCGAGGGACTGTGACTTGAATCTGCATCTCCCAGACACCTAGCTCAGTGTGATAATGTCACATGAGCATTTACTATGTTTCTCCGAAAATAAGACCTCCCCATAAAATCAGCCCTAGCAGGATTTCTAAGCATTTGCGCAATAGAAGCCCCACCCTGGAAATAAGCCCTAGTGGCGGCTGTGGCTACGCAGCGCATCTGCACAACCCATGCATGTCGTTGCGGAGCGGGAGAGAAGACGAGCAGCCCTTCTCATCTGCCCCATGAGAGCTCTAGTGCTCAACATGAGAGATGGGAGCCGATGGTTCTAAAGGAAATAGAGTCCGCAGAAATTCAGGATGGAATTCGGGGTTTGGAGAGTTATGATGATGTTCCAGAAGAAGACAACTATATTTGTTGTATTGTACTTAAAAAAAATAACACATCCCCTGAAAATAAGCTCTAGGGTGTCTTCTTGAGGAAAAATAAATATAAGACCCTGTCTTATTTTCGGGGAAACATGGTACTTACGTGACTTTGTTATTCTCTCATCATTGGCGCCATGGACCTCAGGCCTCCCATGGTGTCCATGACATTAGCATGTCACCACATTGAGTAGACGTATTTAATGATGGGGTTCAACTCAGGAAGCAGTGACCTGTTCCAACTTTATGAGCAATTTAAGGGATTCCCAGGACTCATGCTGACTACCCGCAACTGTGTCCCATGGGCTGACTTGAGATGCCGAGCCAGTGTCAGGAGGCCCCGACACAGAGGATCTCTCCCCGGAGGCCTGATGCCTCCGTCCCTCCCTTGCCATAGGCTGGAGATCCCATAGGCCCTGCCTTCTATAGAGTTCCAGAATCTGATCATTTTTTACCATCCTGTCACTTTTGCTTTGGTCCAAGCCACCATCATCTCTCATCGGGGCAATCCCAAGAGGCTCCTTGCTGCATTCTTCGATTTCAGACTTGCTCTCCATGCTATCTGTTCACCTCCCAGAAGCCCTCGCATTCCTGCCACTCATCTGCTCAAAACCCTCCACTGGCTCCATTCCCCCAGAGAGCAAAAGCCACAAGACCTGGTCCCCGTGCCATGTCTGACCCCTCTCCCTCCACTCTCCCAGTCGCTCCTTCCTCTCTACCCTGCTGTTCCTCAAACCCACCTTGATGACCTGCACCAGCTCGCCGCTGCTGTGGACCCTGTATCCGTGACACTTGGTGTGACTCATACCCTCCCTTCCTTCAGTCTCCAATCAAGGCCACCTCAATGGAAAGGCCTTCTCCCTGACCATGCTATATAAAACAGTGACTCCACCAGCCCATGCTACCCAGCACTCCCTACCCCCTCACCTGACTTTCCTTTCTCCAGATCACATCTCACCATTTGAAGTATATATTTATTCGTGTATTGCCTGCACCTACCTGCTAGAATAGAAGGCAAGGCCTTCTGTTCTCTGCTATGGAACACTGGCTAGCATTCAGTAGGTGCTTCCTGCTCTCTAATGTCACTAACTCGGACCTGCTGGACACTGGGACCAGTCTGCTCTGCTCATGGGGCCTGATTCCTGCCTGCCTGGTCCTTCCTGCCAGCCATAGCTAATCCTCTGGCCTAGCCTCATGACCTTAGATCCAGGACTGTGGCCAGGCACCTCCTGGCTCATTGGACTCCCACGTGTGGAACTTGTCAGGTAGGCCTACTCTGAACAGTGCCATCACCCGTGCCACACCAACAAAAAGCACCTGCTGACTTGCTTGCAAGCACCCCAAGATGTTCAGAGAGGAGAGAATTTGGCAGGCCTAGCATACTGAGCTCTAGACGGAAGCATTTCCTACCTCAATGGGCAGGTTCTGTGTTGTGCTGAGTTGGAGGTGACACTGTGGAGAAAGAACAGGGCAAAGACCTGGCTCTAGGGCTGCAGAGAAAGACTTGAGGGAAGCAAACACCACGAGGCTTGTCAAATAAGAGCCCCAGGGATGACAGATGGCCAGGTGGCCAAGAGTTTGGGGTTCAAGAGCTCTGTCCCTGGGGAAATGACTGGGCTGGATGCACCCAGGGATAACCTGGTAACAAAATCAGGGGCCTAGACAGAGGGAGAAGACTGTGGTGAGTGACCAGGATCACTGTGACTCACACTGTGGGCAGCGGGGAACTGAGCAGATGTGTAGTAAGAAGTAGAGAGGGCTTACATTTAAAG